TTGCCTGGGACACAAGGATTTCAGAGCTAAAACCAGAAATATGCTGCTTAATATATTAAACATGTAACCAGCAGTTTTTTTTTCTTTGCTGTAGGATATGAAAGAATCTTCATGACAGTCAAACGACAATGGAACATGAAAATGATGCATTTTCATAGAGCTATTTTTTGCTACATAGTGGACAATTATAATAAAAAGGGGAAAGCAGATAATTGTGCCCAAAAGGGAAAGAAAGTGAACATACACCAACAGTTTTAAATGCCAACTGTTGCCAGACGCTGTGTCAGTTTTATGTTTTCTCATCTAATCCTTTGAAAATTATGTATAGTATGTAATATTATCCTCATTTTATAGATGCAGAAACTGAAAGAGCTAAAATAACTTTCCCAAGATCATGCAATGAATAAGTAGCAGAGCTGACATTTGAATTTTGTTTTTTTCTTCAAGACCGTATATTTTATAATACAAGTAATTTAGGATTAAAGTCCTTTAATTCAGTAACTCTTCTCTAGGTCTCAATTATTCCTGGGAAGCATCTTTATTTGTATGTTCCTTCTGACATTCCAGTCCAAAAAAAATTAAATTGAATACCTACTCTATGCCACACCCTGTAGTAGATAGCGGACTTAAAGAGAAGCATTACGCACAAGTCCATCATTTTACAGCGGGAGGCAGACACACTGTAGTCAGTATCAATGCCATACTATAAGTGTTATATAATTTTTTAAGATATAAACGGAAGCAAAAGTAAACAATCAGGTCCTCCTAAAACAAAAAAGTGACATAGGGGAATTGACAGTGAAGATGGTATTTAAGTTCCTTTTTTTATTTTTAAGTATATGATTTTACCAAATGGGGATAGTGAGAAGGAAAGTACAAGTAAAGGCATACTTAAGGAATTATGAGTCCCCTAGAGAATTTGAAAAACAGGAGGTACGGGGACAGGGGCAGTCAAAGATGACAAGAGAAACAAAGGTAGAGGAGAGATTGCGAAGGAACTTAATTGCCAAGCTGTTTAGACTTTAATCCTGCAGCAAACAATACAATAAGTAAGACAGTCTTTAAAGGAGGGGAGGGGACATTGGCCCTTTATAGTAATTGGCTGTCCTCCTTTCCAGTGTCCACTCTGTGAGAGCAGGAGTCTTGTAGTTACTGAGGATGTCTCTCCAGAAACCAGAAGAGTACTTGATGCAGAGTAGCCATTTAGAAATGCATATTTGTTGTGTCACTGAATGTTTAAAATAACGATATACAAGCATTAACAAGTACAACCAGTAAACAAGCAAAACAAGCAAAAGAAAACAAAGGCAGAATATGGGTAATAATAGATTTTGCATAGAATCAGCACCATTTAATGACTTAATATTAAACCACTAATGGAATTTGATAAAGTGGGAAGTCCAGTAGTACCACAGATTTTCAAACCTGGGTAACTAGATAGATGGTGATGCTTTAACCAAAACAGAAATATAGAAGGAAAAGATAAGTTCAAGGGAAATTTTTAAAGTTTGGATTTGAACTCACTGAGGATAGAATTTGTTTAGGACATGATCTGATAATCACCAGGCAGCAGTGTTAAGAGAAAAACAATCCTCCAATTTTAGGACTCATCTTGTGCCTAAAAATAAATATTAAATATGTAACTTTGTTCAAATTTATGTCATCCTTATCTTTTGAATGCCTTAGAGGGGTAAGAAAATTATTTCATTTATTATCAAACCCATTTGAGATTATAATTATAAGTCTCGGCACAGCAGAAATAGGGAAGTAGAAAGTGATTAATTAACTGACTCAAAAAGTCCTGAACTGCAATTAGGGAGGAAAAAATATAGGCAACCCGTCAATCCAAATTATCATCACAAATTCTGTTAGCTGTCAGACAAAATGTAGATGTACTATAACATTAAATAAACTAGAATTGATTTAAATTGGTGGTAAGAGTTTTGGGGTTGTTGAGGTTTGTGTAGATTCTTGAAATTAATGACTACACCTTAGAAAGTTCCAAACTAATACAAAACACTACATCCAGCAGAAAGTCTCTAAAAAAAAAACTATAAAAATGGAAATAAGCTGAAGTAGAAAATATTAAAAAAGAGAATTAATCACCTCCAAATATATTTTCCAGGAGTGTAAACGCAATATATAATTTTTATGTATTTAAAAATAACACAGGAAAAGCACTGTTCTCTCTCACCTAACTACATATTTGAAGACTACCATCCTAACTTTTATAATTTGCCTTGTATTTATCTATTTTCTTGATTTTAAAATGTAATCATAGACTATAAGCTTGTAATCTTCACAGTGTAACTAACTTCCCTATAGAAAACCACTAAGAAACAAATTACAGGTTAGATGCCAGTGGTATTCTAAAAAAAAATCCTTAATTTAATGACACCTGCTTTCAATTGATGCTACTGAACAAAATACAAAAGATGCAGAGCTCAGGTGTGAAACTTCTAATTCACAAGAAACCAGGGGGAGTCTTCATTTGACTCTTTATTATCTTTAATGAGAAGATGAAACTTGTCACTGATGAATTTTAAGATTGTATAAAGTGTCTCCCAAGGAGTTATAGATAGAACTAATCTTAAAGTACTTTGTATTTACATAGATCAGAGTCTTGCTGAAATAGTTCAGTGTTACTCTCTTAGGATTTGTGAAATTGATGAGAAAAATCAACTTGTTTCCATGAAGCACCTACTCTGCTCAGCTCTGTGGGAGGTGACCTTGAGAAACCCAGTGAATGGGGATACAAAGCATCCGCAGGGAGTTGAGAAAGAAAAACAACTCAGTACAAAATCAGGCACACAGTTTGTAATGCAGACAATAGATATATTGGGAATGCAACTATAGGAAATGTCTCGGGGGGAGAATTTCAAGGAAGAGGTGAGTGTATACTTTCTGGGGAGGTATAGGTTGTTTTTAGGGAGAGAAGCAAGTTGGGAGATAATCCTGGTAGGGGAATACTGAAAGGAAAGTCAGAAAGAGACAGGACTGAACAAATATAGGCGATAATGACAATTGATGGGGCAGTAGATAAGGCTACTTAGGAGAGATGAGAGGTCCATTACTGAGGAGGACTGACTGACAGGATGGGCCTTACACTCCAGTCTATAAATCGTGCCTGAGAGGCACCTGTGGCATAAAGGTTAAGAGCTTAAGCTCTGAGACAGATGCCTGATACTGCCACTCACTTGCTGTCTGGGAAGTAGTTTAATTTTCTACCCCTCATTTTCCTATCTGTGTAATAGGGATAATAATAATATGTTAGTATTCTTAGGGAATGCCAGGGGGTTTTTAATATATATATTTTAAATATATCTTCATAAAACTAAATATGTTGCTCTGACAGCAATGGTCAACGTTGATTGAAAAGTTCTGATTGTGAGCATAAGAACTCATGCTTTGTAATAGCCCAAATTTCCCCCTTAACATTCATAATCTGTTATCATTCAAACTGGAATATGTCTCAGAATTTTATTTTTAACTATAAAAATGGCCTTTTATTATCGCTATGTGGCTAACCAAGTATTTGCATTAGGCGCCCAGCTCCAAGCTCTCTGAAATCAATGGCCAAATAGAAGATTTCATGACAAACTTTCAGATTTAAAACCTGAAACTTCTAGATCTCTGCCTGCAGTAATGCTTTCTGTCCATTTGACCTCAGTATGTTCTGATAAAATTTTTTTATCTGTATTTGGGTGAAATTAATGACTTTAAAGAACATTATAGAAACTCACCAAAACGGAAAACTTCTTTGGGTTCTAATTCTATGCATAATAAATTGGGAGCTTTATTACTACATTTAACCTTTAACACATCTTTCTTTAAAATACAGATTCAAATATAAAATCTAGCATTTGCAGACATTGTACTAATTTGTCACAGTCACCCTTTCTAACCCTCAAGGATTTGAGTTCATAAAAGGGACATGAATTACAATATGAGATCTAATACTTCCATCATTGGTACACATATTTCTTTCCAGATCTTCTTTGTGCTCATGAGGAAAAACTCTGTGCACAGTCCAGATTGAATTGCTAAAAATTCCAATAAGAAGCAAGAATATAGAAGTAAAAAGTAAATATGTCATACATGTTTATTTCAGGTAAATACCATTTTCCCTCCATCTGAAATGAGTTTATCTTTTAAACTTGGGCAATTGGGCAGAACAAATAGATTCTTTTCTTTGAAACAAATCAAAGTTATTTATGTTGAATATTCTACCTAATAGAGGTATATTGGGAACTGTAACAACTGCAAATAGATGTGATAAAAAGAAATAAATGATGCTCAGTTTCTGATTTTAGCTTCTGCACTAGACTACGAAATCAGTTACTTATTTTTATGTACTGCCATTATTGTTCTGTTGATCTAATCTTTGTCCAACAAAGAGATGATCAAGAACTATTACAAATCCCACTAACTTTGTAGCACTCATCAATTTACTGACGTTTTTCTACTTAAAAGCCCTTAAAAGCAGACTATGACCGATGGTTTATAATTTCTTAAAGAGAATTTATGAATTTCTCTCTTCTGCTTTGCCTTAGGAGTATTTCAGAAATGCCCGGTCTAATGTAATTCAGCCATAATTACTGCATCACTGGAGGAGAAGTTGTACCACAACTGCCAAAGCAGCTACAGTAACTGCTTAAACTCTGACTTTAGATTGTTGACTGTCTTTTAAGAAAAAGATCAGGGCCAAAAGCATGCAATCTAAACAAGAGATTGCAGGACTTTAGAAAAGGAAGTGCTTAATTCCTTTGTAATTCATCTTGTAATCCATGTTCTTTTTACGAACTCAAAGGGAATAATGCTATAAAGAAATGGAGAAATCCCTATCTTTAACATGAGTACATTTATAGAAGCATGTTGGAAAATGAGGTTCCTATTACTAAAATACAAGTAATTCAGCTGCCACAGCTGGAAATCTCTAACTGGAGCACATATTTCTGTAATTGCTCTAATTCTTGTGTGTTCTCTTGCTCTTTTTGCAGGCAGACCAGTAATGATTGTGGTGGAATACATGGAGAATGGATCCCTAGACTCCTTTTTGCGGGTGAGGTGTTCTTTTCTGATAGCATTTAAATAAGCTATTCTGAGTTCTAGATTTAAATCATTCATTATAAATTAATTTTTGCATAATGTTATTCACGGATTTTTCTATGAAGAATAACAGCATTTTCTCTAGGGTGCATTTCTCTGATACTGTGATACATTAGAGTATTACTAAAGAGGGAGTAGATACACGTAATAATATAATTGATTTCTCCTATAAATTCACTTGCCATATAAATATATACATATTTCAAATGATGGTATAAAGAAAGATTAAATGGACCTCAGTTGCTTCTCATAGCCATTCATTCGACTTTATCACATTTAACTATTCAGTATGATATTTTATGCATTATCTATAATGCTGAACCCCTTATGTTGATGTATATTTACCAATAATGATTCGAGTTCATATCAGAAAATGGATTTTATCAGCTTTATCCCTCTTAAGATCATTTGGCTAACTATTCAGAAAATAGAAGGAGAAAGAATGAAACTTTGGCACAGATTTGTTTTAGAAAAAATTTTAAAGCATTCTTTTTTGAGTGACTTATCCTTTAAAATATGGTGTATTAAAAAATTATTTGTTTTATATCATGGTACAGGATAACATAGCTGAGAGGGCAGCATGAAGTTATATTTCAAAATGTATGTGTAATAACTTTAATATTTAAAAAGCTACAATTTGCTTCAAAAATATTCATTGATAGTTTAAAAAAAAGAAATATAAAAAATAATCAATAGAGTAAATATTTTTATCCCCAGCATAGGTCACATATTTGCATGTCACTCTTTTCTTTTATATATATTTATCTACAGAAACATCGCCAATTTTCTTACTTATATAATGAGTGGACTTTTGCTATTTGAAATGTGTTATATTGTTTTTCTTCATTTCTATGTGAATAAACAATCTCAAGCATTCTTTCTTCACTTCATTTTTTGTTCAGTGTTATTTGGACAAGTGCTATGTGCATCTACTCTCTCTCTTGATCTCATTTTCATGTATTTTTCTTGATTCCATGCCCTCTTCTTCCAACTGCTCTCAGTATTAGCAACAATAATATATTTACACTGTAACTGGACTTGATGTGCAGATTCAATGCCAGAAGCTGAATTCAGCAAAATCGTTGAGTCATTATACAGCAGTACTCCTCACACAGTGCATACTCTCAGCCAAGTATGCTCTTTAAGGCAAAATGAAATTCATAGGTGTTTGGGGTCGTGAACTATTTGTTCTTTTCTGTAGTCATTCTCAGAATGTTATTTTATAGCTTGTATACATTTCTCCAGTAAATGTGCTAAATTACTTTACAATAATTTATCAGGACCACCTATGGTACTTGAAATGCATATATACTTACACGCTTCCATTATGGTTATCCAAAACCTCATTTTTATCTGATACATATCAAAATGACTTATTTTCTAATGATACTTGTGATAGGATTTTTTTATCAACTATATCCTAGGGCTGAATATAATGGCAAATAATGTAACAGATACTCATCTAAACTGCTGCTGAAAATTGGACCAAATGACTTCCTTAAGCAAATTAGGAGAGAAATATTAGCTTCAGATATATTTTTTAGCCTGCTAAGAGATAAACCATGAATTAATTAAAATACATTATAAGGGAAAGATAATATGTTATAAATAAAATATTTACTTGTAAACATCCTACTACATGTTTAAAAGTGGTATATTTCATCATTTAAAATTTAAAAACTAATATTTTTCAGCCCTTATGTACCGTGTAGGTAAGACCCAATGCAGTCTGGAAAAGAGTAAATGTTCAAATAATTGTGGCTACCATTACTAATCCTATGAGAACCTTAACATATATTATCTCAGTTCATCTTGGCTCTGCCACTTGGCTATGTGACCTTGTGACTTGAGCAAGTGACTAACTTCTCCATGCCTCTGTTTACTCATATATAAAATGGAAATATTAACAGAATCTACCTGATACAATTGTTATAATGGTTAGTTGAGTTGATTACTGTAAAGCATATAGAATAATGCCTGATATACTTACTGTTAAGGGGTAGAGTGAGGATTCATACTCATCTCTGAAGCAAAAAGCCATATTCTCATATACTGTGAATTCTATCTTTTTATTAAATTACTTATTGCTTCTTCTTTTAAGCCCATTGCCATCTCCCCATATGGTCTTGAGCCCCCTCTGCACATAGAATTTCTATTAAAATAAAAATCATATGGATGAGTGGAAAAAAACATAAGGCCAATACTCCCTTTTCACTTTCCTTTAATATTCTTACCCTGCTTTGTAATCATATCTCTTTTATCCCAGTAGCTCAAAGTGCTTTATAAACTTTATGTCAATAGCAGACACTCAATTCCCTATGGCAAGCAGAAATTATATATATATCTCCAACAAACTCTCAAAAGCGAAGTCATTTTTCAAACTACTGCTTTAGAATTTGATAATCACAGCTTCTGTGAGCACAGAGAGAAGGAAGTGGCTAAGTGCACAGCGTAGTGGGGGAGCCATCCATGGCTCATTAATAGCATTCTGTGCTTGCTGGGGGTAGAAAAGATTTCCCTTTGGTCTCCCACACTGTTTGAAACTCACTTCAATTCACTGTTTTATATGAAAGACTGGTAGCAAACTAAGTACAAGATTACAATCTAGTGGCAGTAGCTTGCTGGCTGTGATATTGCACCAAAGTCATAAATCTACTGTTTGGATCCTTGTGGACATTCCTCCAGATATATATTAGCAGGGGGTAGTGTGGTTAAGTGAGTACGTTTATGTGTGTGTGTATGTGTGTGTGTGCACGCGCACATGCATACACATACCTGTGCAAAAGGGGTGTGGGTGCATATGTATGTGTGTGTTTTAAATTTTAAAATAAAATGCATTCTGACTTAGCAAGCAGAGCATCAGCCTGGCTGCCCACTAAGTATGACCTCACTAATATTCAAGTTTTCCTAACTTTTCCAAGGAAATACACTAGTATGAATTAAGTGCAAGTTTGACTATCTTCCCTGAACAGTCTCTCTCCAGCTATTCATATGGATTTCATAAATACTTTGTGGCACTTACCTGGCAACTCTTTTTCCCTCAGTCTTTGGACCTCCATGTTTACAGCAACATTAACTAGCAATCAAAATACAAATACTTATAAAATACTTGAAAATTTTGAGATATCATATATCAACCACAAAATATTAATCCTTTATCTTATAACATTTGTTGAGTGTGGATTTGTTTATCAAATCACAAATTCAGTTATAGGAGAATATAACACCACTGGTTTCAGCTCAAGATGGTATATTGTGTTCAGGCTGCAGCCTCCTGCTCCCACCTAAAAACTTTTGACATGAGAGAAAAGATATATATACACTGTTTATAGCATACAGTCACATGAACAAGCAAGCAAGAGTGTCATCCAGAAATAATAACAAGAAAAAATTGGAGAAATGAACAAAGACAAAAAGCAAACAGAATGAGGCTGAGTAAAGGGAACCATAGCCAAAACCACGCTCAGAGAAGGACAGTTGGGAGTAGGAGGAATGTGGGGAAGGTGGTGCCACCAACTGCAATAAAGATACGGAAAAGGAGGAAGGGGATGGGCTGGTAGTGGGAGAAGATGGTGAGTTTAATTTGGGTCATGCTAACCCAGTGATTGTGTTAGTTACACACACTCTGCCTCCACTCCTGCCACTCTCCATCTTTGGTCTTGGAGAAAATGAGATGATTAACTAGTCATGCTGACATCCAGGTGATGGTGGAGAACATGACTGTGTTTTGACAGTGGCATGCATGCTTCTGTGATTTCCTGCAGGAACAGTTCACCACCTGCCCCCTACCCGCCTCCCTCTGACCTCCCACCCCAACCCTTGCTCTGGCCAATGTAGAATGGAAATAATAGAGGCTATTGTTTGAAGAGCAGGTACAACAGAAAAAAAATGGGAATTGGGGATGGTAGTTGAGGTAAGCAACCAGTAAAAGCAGGTTAGAAAATGAAGGCAATAAAGAGGCTGCTAGGCTAGAAATAAATAGAAATTTTATGGGCTGGAAGTCTTTATTAGGTAGAAGAGGAAGTATAATTGTTTGTTTAGGTGAGAGAGCTAAGGAAAAAAAGAATGTGGCCAGAAAGTAGAATATTGACAGTGGTTGTTAGAGTCAGCTTATACCAACTTGTAAGAGATGATTAAATAAATAGTCAGGAATTTGGGGAGTGGGTTGTTAAACGGTCATCACTTGAAATTAGCTATGACTGAAAGATTTACATTACAGAAATTGGCAAATATTACAAATCAGAGCTTTTTTGTTTTGTTTTCCTCCAGAGAGCCAGTTTACCAACACACTATATTGATATCTAAGATTTCTGAATAAGAAATTTCAGGGATGACAGTTTCCAGGTGTGGTCTAGGAGTCGGTAGCTAAAGTAAAAATAAAGATAAATGTCTTTAATTAACTAATGTAGCTAACATTTATATGTGCTCTCTCTGACTCAGGCATTATTCCAATCTCATGCATTTATGAGATAGGTGTTACTATTATCCCCATTTTACCAATGAGGAAACTGGGGCAAAGCAAATTACGTAGCTTGCCTAATGTTAAAATAGCTGATAAATCATTCTTTTTTTTTTTTTTTTGCACAAGTATATGTTGACAGACTATAGTAGGCCAGGCACTATTCCAGATCTTGGACTTCAGAAGCACACAAAACAGAAATTAAAAATCTAGTGGGAAGAAAAATAAAGGATTTGGCAAAATATATGGTACATCAGATACTGGAGAAAAATAAAACTGGGAGAAAAGTGAAACACAAGTGAAGTTATGAGTGAGACTGACTTTCAGTATTAAATCGAGTGGACAGGGAAGGTGTCACTGAAAAACTACATGTGAGTAAAAATCAGAAGAAGGTAAGGGAACTCCAAGGGAGTAAGGGAACTGGGGGAAAATAATCCAGAGAGTAAAATCAAAAATCGCCAATGCCCTGAGGTAGGAACATTTTATTCCTTTTC